GAGAATATAAATTCCCATTATATCATTCTGAAACTTAAACTATCAAAACACAAAATCAATCCTTGCACGAAGCTAGGATCGAACACACGAACTTGATCTTTGCAGACGAACTGCAAAAATCAACCTCGCTGTTCTTTTCTATATTCCCATACACTTTTGCTTCGCCACTAAAGTTTTAAAATTTTCACATAAAATCCATTTTTGTTGGTCCCAGAACACTACTATTGAAAACTAGCGACATGTTTGAAATCAGCATGTCGAGCTGCATTGAGTTATAGATAAACAAGAAAATTCCAGTGAAAACAGTCAGAAAAGGGCTCCCTGATGGATTTTGGACAAAATGAATTTTTATTTGAAAACAAGTATTTTTTCTGTCAGGTATGGTGAAATATGAAGAAAGAACCACACTAGCCACAAAAATGCTCGATCAGTTGGCCGAAACCGGGCTATTTTCCAGTACAATCGCTGCTAAAAATATTTTCACCAGTTTGAGAAAAACGCATTCTACTCTTTTGCTTCGGTAACCTTCGCTGCACCGAATATCGCTTGATGCAAAAGTAATGGAGTAAAATGTTTAGCTCTACTGTATCAGAACCAGCTATGATATAAACTTCATTTGCTCATCACTGGATAGATCGTGGTTTATACTTCAAAAGAGTATATCCTGAATAACTTTCCGCATGGTCTGTACTGTTGAAAACTCAGTTTCTAAAATCACTAAAAATCGGTTGCAACTTCCACACAAAAGTAGGACTGCAGTCCTACTTGTCCTACGCCATGGCGTCAGTTTCGTAATAATTGAAATTACAATAACCTGGCGCTGGAAATGTGAAAAAAGATTATTTTTATTGCAGTTTTTAACGTACCGAAAAATGTGGAAATGAAAAAAATTTCCTTTTTGAAAATTTTCTAGTATATTGATATTTTTGCTTTGTTACAACCGGTTTTTAGTGATTTTAGAAAGTGAATTTTCAACAGTACAAACCATGTGTAAAGTTTTTCAGAATATGCTCTTCTAAAGTACAGCCCATGATCTATCCAATAATGAGCAAATGAAGTTGCATCATGGCTGGTTCTGATACAGTAGAGCCAGACATTTTACTCCATTACTTTTGGGTTAACAGATATACGTCGGAAAATTCGATTTTGTTGTTTTTGATTTTTACATTTGCGCTCCAACTTTTGAGATCTTTTCTAGACTTGTGTATTTTCTTATTGTGTTGTTAACTCCACTAAGAGACGAACGCAAACATGAATTTTTTTTAGGTAAAACTACCACCCATTTACTACCACAGTGGTCTAGTTGCCACACTGGCAAACGGCGAAAAATATCTCGTCCACAAAGGTGATCAATGGGGTATCAATGAAAATACAGTTGTTGTTCGCCCGGATCAAATGAGTAAACGTTGGTATCTGCATGATGATCCAATTAAACCGTCTACAACCTTACGTCTCGGAGATCTGGTTAAAACCGGCGGTCAGAAACCGTACGATCATTTGAGTAGCAATTGTAATCATGCAGTACAAACAATAAAAGCTACAGCGCGAGGTGGTGCTCATGGGGAGATATGTAAAATGCCGTGACGACGTTTTTTGTCTGCTTCGTTTTTACTCTGTATTGTGTGTGTAATAAACGGTCCCAATGTGTGATATTTTCGAATCTTTTTGTTACCAAAATCGTAGAAAGATGGTACTTTGGATTTCTGGGTAAATCGATATGAGCAATGGTTGAGTATGCATCTACAGTAATCGGTCGTATTTGTGAAGTAGTGACTCCTAGGAAGTCTTACACGGGTTGATGGCCTTAGGAGACCTCCACCGAAAGCTTTTCCCAAGGGATGTGAATCACTATCTATCATAAGTCCGATTAAAAATAAGATGGATGAAATAAATAAGTAAATGATAAATGTTGTACAAGCAATGATAGTGAGAAGAGATCAGTTGCTATTAGAGATTTCAATGCAACTGATATTAATTGTGTGTTATGTCGACAGCTTATTGATCATACAAATCACCTTATAAACACAGACTATTAACTAAATACTGTCGGCATTGATACGATGTTTTATTCAAAGAGAAACCTTCAGCTCGGTGGTATGAATCACATATGCAGAAGTAATTATCGTCGTGGAGACAGATCTGTCCTCGATTGTTTATCGTGTTATATAACAAATGATATTTAAGAACGATAGTTTTCGAATTATAAGATACATTTCAGTACCAGTTCATTGCCTAAATTGAAAAACTTCTTTGAGTGTACCTGCAGTCTAAAATGTAACTATTCCGATTTACAAAACAGTTTAAGCGAAAGTCTTTAGAGTTACATCCGTTATAGAGGATCTTCTCTGTCCACAGATACGCTTACAACTAAGTCCGATACAGGAAATAGCTACTAAATCGTTTTGAAACCTTTTGATCATAAGTTGCGTTTTCGCTCCGCCTTGGATCAAATTCTAATCATTACAAGTTTGAAACTGAATTCACTTTAAAAGATCTTCTGTCTAAAATAAGTTTCGCGCAGTACTTTGAAACAGTTTCACAAGAATTTATCAACCGAATATGTAAATCCATCGAAGCTTCGACTTTTTTAAAATCAATGCCATCTTGAAAGTTAGTTTCATAAGTCGAAATAACATTGATTTTTAGGTTTATTATGCATCTTCCAAGATTGCTCATGAAAAGGCATTTCATATCTCCACTTTTATTTTATTTTTGCAAGAAATTGTTTCCAAAGTGAAAATAATAAATATATGTAAAGTGGACAATTTCTGAGGTAATCTTGGTGTTTTGGATGTTCTTGTACGGTTCAACCGTCTTGCCGTTAGTAACACTCATGTTTCACTACAGGACGCGTCACAAAGACGTTCGCAGACTTAATAGATGTCAGTAAATAAAAGAAATTAAAAAAATGTGCCGGATCAGTGTGGTTCTATATATATCGACACAATGGCTGGTCTAGAAAAAATAGTCATCACATTATATGATGTTTTGGTAAGGGTGTCCCGCTCCCTCTTTTTTCACCTTCTTGCCAAATGCAGAGCACACTTCCGATTGAGCTCAAATTTATACCAAAGATAGAACATCGAAAAAGAAAATCGATGTATTTTTGGCCACAATCTTCTGACATGTTCTTCTATGGGTTTTCTGGAGAACTCCAGTTTCCATTCAGCCACATTACGACCCCTCGACAAAATAGTCCGATCGAGCTCGAATTTTTACCACAGATACTTCAGGTCCTATCTCAGGTGCCTTTTTTTTTCGAAAAATACGCTTCCGTTTTCGAGATATTCAAAAAATGCTAAAAATCCGGCTGGAAAAAGTGGTTTTTGATTTTAAAAAGCTTCTCACACCGCAAGTTGAAATTCAAAACGCTTAAATACTTTATTTTATTTGCAGTTCAATAAAGTCTCACTAATCCTAATAAACGTTCAGAAACCCGTACAAGAACATATCCAAAACACCAAGATTACCTC